TGCTTTTATACAACATTCAAAAAGGCAAGGTCTACTTTTCCTGGAGCTTTTAACCACATATGAGCGGTTGTCCATCCTCAGAAGTCTGAAAGGACATTAAGAAGTGACTTCACTCGCTGCTCCATCGTTACATTTAGGAAAGTGAAACCCGAGTATGTGTTGTTACATTAAAGTGGCAAATACCATAGAGACGAACTGCTGCTATTGTCCTTGAAGTCTTGTTTTCAGTGGCCAGTGGACGCAGCGCTGCAGCAGGATGTAGATGTGGTTCTGTTCACAAAGACCCAATGTTCCTCCTCTGACGCCTTAACGCACCTTCACACGCCGACTGTGTCTCTGCTCGTCAGAAATATTGTTCCTGTTATTATACTAGGAGATGGCTTATTATCCTTTTACACCATCAGAGTAAAGAGGGTGTGGGTGTGTGTGTGTGTGTGTGTGTGTCAGCAGTAGAGTGTTCTGCTGTTCGTTTTGCCTTCTGTTCACCATCAGAGTAAAGAGGATGTGTGTGTGTGTGTGTGTGTGTGTGTGTGTGTCAGTGGTAAAGTGTTCTGCTGGTCATTTTGCCTTCTGTTCACCATCAGAGTTTCACAGTGGGGAGTTTAAAGAGTAGATGTTTGGTAATCATTAAAAAATGAACCGAAGTGAGTAATGAAAATGTGAAAAGGTGTTTATTTAGATAAATGTAACGTTATACATTGGTGTGTCCTATAGTCCTGTAGAGTAAGACTTTAAAAAACAAGGACGCTTTGTACTCCGGCACTTTCTTTAATGTGTACTGTATTAGTTCATCTTCTACATATAAAGTACTGTATGAATATTCATGACTTGCCTTGTAATGTTTAAAAACAATGCTACGTTTAGACATGATAACCAAGAAAACAACGTTTTTAGAGTGTATGCATGCCAATGGTTGGGTCCCAGTGTAATAGGAAAAGTATATGAAAAAATGGTGCTATGTTACATTATATAAAAGGTGCTTTATGGACCCCAGCTGAATGCATGCAAAGAGGAACTCTCAAAAGAAGAACAAAATGGATGTCCTACTACTGTTCTCAAACAAGTGCTGCCTCTCATGTCTTGAAATTGGACTTTCTAATTGTTAAAACGCCCGTCAAGTTCCAACTGTGATCCAGAAACCTGAATCTGCGGGTTCTGCAAAGCCACCGGTGTTTCCTCCGTGCTGTTGAGAATGCTCCCAACACAGGAGCATTTGACCTCAGAGAAAGAGCGCTTAAGTGGAGCATGAACTTAGCCATGGAGGTTGTTTCGAGAATGAAGACAAGGACTGAAAAAGGCATTGTGTGTGGCAGACCTGATCACACACGCTGAAGTCTAACTGTAAATGTCATCAGTAGCCGCCAGGAGAAAGATCACGATCTGAAGTAAAGGCACGAGGTGGTCTATTTACAGTTACCCACACACCTTTGTGACATCGGTCTAATCGATCTAAAGACAATCTATCGACATCATTTTGTACTCTTAATACGTGAGATGTTTATGTGTTTACGGATTTTTTCATGTAGCAGACTTATAGGTCAGCAAACATCAATATAACAGGTCGAAGTTGTCTGGAAAACGTTTTGCTGATTGTTGCTGGAAAAGAAAAAGTGTATTGGTTGTATTGACCATTTTTCTTTATTATGTTGTTCATTAAATGTTTTACAGGATTATCAAAGCTTTCGCCTGATTTTCTTTTAAAGATTTGAAGTGACACTCGACTGAATGCGTCTGTAAAAGGTGTGTGGGCTGAAGTGTAAAACATGACGTACGCTGCCCTCTTATTCAAGATCAAGAATAGTTTTAAATGTGTTAATTCTGAACTCTACAGTACATCATTTTGTTAAATTACTCAGAATTGACCATTTAAGGTTTACTGATGGAAAGGGGCAAACAATGAAAGAAAATATGTCAACGATGATATTTTATATTGTTCAAAATAATGCTGCCACAGTGTAGAAAATACTCTGTTACAAGTAAAACTCAACTTTTAAATTTGACTTACTAATTTATTTGAGTAAAAGTACAAAACCATTCACATGTACATCAAAATATACCTAAATATACCTATTATGCTTTTTGGGGTTCTCCCTGTACTGTAGTGTATTCTATGGGTTTGTGTGCATGTAAATGGTCATCAAAGGCTAAAATCCCTGAAGGAGAGGACTCTTTAAAGTAGAGACACTACATACTGATATACACGAACATCAGCAGGAGAGGACTCTTTAAAGTAGAGACACTACATACTGATATACACCTGAACATCAGCAGGAGAGGACTCTTTAAAGTAGAGACACTACATACTGATATACACCTGAACATCAGCAGGAGAGGGCTCTTTAAAGTAGAGACACTACATACTGATATACACCTGAACATCAGCAGGAGAGGACTCTTTAAAGTAGAGACACTACATACTGATATACACCTGCACATCAGCAGGAGAGGACTCTTTAAAGTAGAGACACTACATACTGATATACACCTGAACATCAGCAGGAGAGGACTCTTTAAAGTAGAGACACTACATACTGATATACACCTGAACATCAGCAGGAGAGGACTCTTTAAAGTAGAGACACTACATACTGATATACACCTGCACATCACTGGATTCTGATTAGTGATACAGTGTGTTGTTACTAAAAACATTTACTTAAATACTGTACTTACTGAACAGGATGAATGGAGGTGGAGGCGGGCCGCTGAATTAACACCTGAAATCACAGCTGACTGAAGGAGAATGGAGAACAATTTTAAACTTAGACTGCAGCTCGATGATTGGCTGCTGGAGATTGAGGTGAAATGTGATTGGTTAAAAGAGAGCGCCCATAATGAGCTGATTATATGCAGCTGGAGTGAATGAACTTGCACTGAGCTTAATTTACTTTGTATATATAAAAAACACATAGTATATGATAGATGCAATATTGTTATACCGAGTATTTTGAAATGTAAATATTAGTAAATTGACCTCACATTGAAAACTACATTTAAATGCTCCTGCATATATTCAAGTAATTAATTATTAATCAAAACAATGACGATTCTCCCTAGTATCTCTAAAGTCAGTGAAACATCTGTTGCGTGGTCTTCATGCCTTTTGTGAGACACATGAGTAAACTAATGCCAGAAACACAATTTAAAACATTTATTTCATATTTTTATAATGACCATCAGACATCATTCCAACTCGACCGTTGTCATCACGGCTCCCATTGAAATGAAAAATTAACGGAACAAAATGCAGTCCGCAAATTTCCAGCATGACACTTCCTTTTATACTCTTTACCGGCAAGCTTTGTTTTAGTTTCCCTTCAGTTATATTTCCTATTCTCTTACTGTCAGTTCTCGAAACATATCAGAGCAGTTTATCCGTGACTCAAAGCCGTATACATTAAGCCGATGTTAGTCGGATATTCAACATGTTTTAACGTTGGACGATAAGAAAGAACGCTCTGACAGACTGTGGAGAAAGAGGGGGAGACACTGATATAATGAAAACACATTAAGAGACATTACATACACAAATAAAGCAGAAGCGTGACGTCATGTGAGCTAAAACTGTACATCACACAGATATGCGTTAGATTTTAAATTAGCTTTTTGTCAGTTTTCAAAGGCAGTTACATTTGTATTTAAACATGCACTTGCAGCATGTACATGTCAGTGTGAACTCGATAACATTCATATGCAGTGTGTGTAAATACAGAGCTGCACAATGACCCATTAAATGATAATGCCTGGGTAACATCCCTCCACAAGGGGGCGCTGCAGCACATAGTAACAAAGGCACCTGCTGTGGTGTGAGGAGACATTTTGAAACATATTTACTGTAACTGTAGAATACTGTCAAATCCATTTTGGGCATTATTAAAATATTTTAAAGATGTGTCTTTTATGCATTTGAGTGCAAAGCTAGCAAACTGCTACAATCTGTAATTCACATTGCAAAGTGCATCCTGAAATATTTACACTTGGTTAAGCGTATAAGAAACACTGGTATAATCTACTTAAATGCCTCAAAGAGTTGAAATGTTGACTTTTAAATGTAAATAAATGTTCCCAAACAAGTTCGTACAAGCCTGTGTATCCTCCAGTTTACTTGGGTCCGTAGAGACATTGCCGCACTTGCATAACGGAGATGATTTTAAGCAAGACATTCTGGAGTGGGATGCTCCAAATGTAAATGAAACTCCAGAAAAAAGGTTTTAAAATAGTGTTGAAATGTATGTGTAATGTCACTCCCTGCCACAAGGGGGAGACAAAAGTTCCGCTCTCCATCTCCAGCTTTATCAAAAGACACAGAACCTTTTATATGGACGACACATCTGAGTCATGGATGTATAAAAAGAACGGAGGATCATTCGTATGACAGTTGCTCAGTGGCTTGACTCAAAAAACTAAAATACCCCGATCTTCCATTGATCTTCTTACGACAGTCTCTGGGGTCCGTAGAGCATGCAACCTTGCGTTTTCCCTTAAGCCCCGCCTTCAAACTTCCTTCACGTCAGGTTTTTTTCGGTCCAATAACGGAGACGGAAAATAATATATAAATACAGCTTTTAGTGAATGTTACCACTTTCAGCTGTTAATGATTTAAATAAAGAGCTATTCAGACAATTGAATCATATTAAAGGTCCCCTATTATACTGTTTTTCATCAATATATTATAGCTCTCAGATATAGACAGAACATGTCTCTGATTGGCTGAAACACCAAACAGATCATTGCAGCATCCCATAATCCCCTCTGTTTCAGCCCTGTTTCTAAAGTGCTGATTCTCTGTCTGTTACTTTAGATGAAAATAAGGAGCCCCTCCCCACGCCCCTCTGAGAGAGATTTGGTTAAAGAGAACACAATGGTGCTCTAGGAGGAGATTCAGGTGATAAGGTGGGGGGGGGGGGGGTTACCTTGGTTGCTGATTGGCTAATGGTTACACAAGACAAAACATCGTAATGATATCACAAATCAGCTCATTTTCAGACAGGTTTTTATAGAAATGGATCAGGACAAAAAGAGAGAGAATCTTTTTTTCCTGAAGCGTTCAGAGTCTCTTTACACAGAGATGTGTAAAATACATGAATTTGCTTAATAGGTGACCTTTAAAGAAAATTATTTGCCAATTAACAGCCGCCTCGTTCGCAATGTAAGTCAATGGGAAATGTCTTTTTTGAGCCCAAAGGCATCACGTGACGTGGTTGCAACACCATCGTTTGGCCACTAAGGACAAATAGCTACAACGCGCCGCTAACTTCCTTCAGGCTTATTTTGGGTTTTGTCTATGTTCTCACTGTGGCCTGTACCCCTCCCTCTGAGACATATAGCTTGATCCTGCCGACTGACCCTCTGAAGGGTTCGTCTGCTCGCTCTCCTCATCCAGGGGACAGAAATCCAACGACTCCACCCCCTCCTCCTCCTCCTGCTGCTGCTGATCCATCTCCAGAAGGTGGATTTCCGCGGGGTTTTCTTGTTTGAAACGCTGAGACTGTCTGCTGCCTTCCTGTATCATCATATCTGGGTTCTCCTCAGAGTCTAGCAGGGGCTGCGTGGACTCTGAGCGGGAAAACACCGCCTGCTGGGGGTGGGGGTTGGGGGTCTGGCCCTTGTAACCGTTTGAAGCCACCACGGAGGAGTACTGCACGGTGCTGGCGGTGGTGTCGGCCATGTCGCTGCCCTCGTCGCTGTCGGAAACGCTTTGGCGAGGCGACGACATGCAGGACGAGCCCCCGATGCCGCTGCTGTGCTCCTCGGACAGATACTTGTCCTTCTTCAGAGGCAGGCAGGCCTTGTCCTCCTCAAACACACTCTTTCCATCACACACATCCACGTCCAGCACACTGATGCCAGACAGACAGTTCTCCTTCGGTGTCTCTGCCTGTAGAGGAGGGACAAGGTGAGGAGAACTTTATAAATCAGACTCAAAACCAAAAGACTGGAAGCTGACAGATGCAGTGGTGGCATGGAGAGAAATATCTTAGCCTCAGTGTGCATAGAAATAAAAAAGCCATATCCAGCAGGACTACATCAAAAATCCCACTCAGATATAAACATTACTTTACTATCAGACCCTGAATGATATGCTTACAGTATTTCATAAGGGACTTCCATCCTCATTGATTGAGAAGATTAGGCATGAGAGGAATAGCAACCCCTTTGATTTCAACATGATGAAAGTCAGCAGCTTTACGAACTCTAGAAACAAACCAGAGCTGGAGAACAGTATATATTAGGGATGCTCCGATCGCCAATTTTGGGGCCGATACCGATCTCGAGTGGGTGGGGCCTATGGGGATCTTCCATTTAAAGTGATGTTTAAAACTCAGTTACTCTCGGTCTCTCTCTCGGTCTCTCTCTCGGTCTCTCTCTCGGTCTCTCGGTCTCTCTGTCTCTCTCTCGGTCTCTCTGTCTCTCTCTCGGTCTCTCTCGGTCTCTCTCGGTCTCTCTCGGTCTCTCTCGGTCTCTCTCGGTCTCTCTCGGTCTCGGTCTCTCTCTCTCTCGGTCGGTCTCGGTCGGTCTCTCTCGGTCTCTCTCTATCTCTCTCGGTCTCTCTCGGTCTCTCTCTCTCGGTAAATAATATAATATATAATATAAATATATTTATAACTAGTTTAGCTTGTTCCAGAGGTAGATAAAATAGCTAAGTGTGTTAAGTCTAGTGTGTGTTTTGCTCCGCTCAGCGGTCCGTCACAGCAGGCGGAGCTGCAGGATTTCTGCTTCACACACGTTGCATACCGCTATTTTATTGTCTTTTTCGGACACATTAAAAAACTACAGACGGCCGATCGATCGGAGCATCCCTAGTATATATAATTTAAAAAATGTGCCTTCTGCATACACACGTTTAACAGGATATTGTCACCTTGTGTGTGTCTAAGTGTAAAAGCAGCCCTTACTTTCAAAGGATAATCAGGAGACCAGCTTCCGATGGTGCTCTCTCCGGGGTTTGGGATCCGAGGCCAAAGATTCTCCTTGATCCTGTAACAGAGGAAACACTGAGGTTATAAATCAGCTGAGAAACTATGAATCCAAAGCTAATAAAGTCAACTTTAATTTCAATCTTTCAGTTTGTGAGTACAGACAGAGAGATCGAAATAACGTTCCCAACAATCCCGAATACAAATATGTATATCCTATATATACACAATCAACAAACACATTTACAGAACTGTATTAACTTTTAAATGTATCTGAGAAAAGTATTTTTTCTTGGACTGTGGGTGATGCAGAGCTGTCACAGTCGAAACCCAAAGATGTTCACTTTGATTTAAAACAGATACAAATGTAAAATGTACATATGCAAGAGGCTGATATTTCTATTACAAGGTTACTTTAACGATCAATCGATTATCCTCACTACAAAAACTTGAAATCTTGCCAAGTATATGCGTCTAATATCTAGTCAGAATATGTCTCTACACCTGATATAAGACATAATAACTTCAGAAGTAACACTGCAGTGAGATATCGGGTCTTGTTTTTAGACAATTCATCATCTTGTTAAGTCAAAACATCTTATTTTGAGTTGTATCTCAGATGAAACACATATTTCTTTACACATTTATTAGAAAATCACCAACTAACATCAGAAAACTTTTGAGCATTTGTAACACAGCATTTCCTGATTCTGGTCAAATATAGTTCAAAATGAGTTCTCCCAGCTAATTATAATATCTGATTTATCTAAATATCCCTTCTTATTTCAAGAACTCTTACCAAGCAAATGTTCACGTGTTCTATTGGCAGATTGTTGTACTTATTTAAGTTGTTTTTGGAGCAGCATTTGTTCCAGTGCTCATAGTTACTAACTGAGTGACGCGTCCTAAAACCCGGAAGTAAACTCCTTCCGGTTCCTTCGACAAAAAAGCAATTTCTCCATATGCTTTTGGAAAATAAGGACAGGTCAGGTCAGGTTTCTTTTAAGGTATAACTTACACGTCTTTTTTGTAGACACAGAGCAGCATGGTCATCAGAACAACAAACAGAAAGCCGAGGCTCACTCCAACCACGATGCCCTCCACCTCTCCTGGAGCTGAAGGAAACACAGCGCACAATCAGAGGATTAGAAATCAGAGAGCAATCTACCATGTTACCGACACCTCAACAAGAAATGTACTACTACCATGTACAGAGTGAAAATGTAATTTCAATGTCATAACAATTTCGCTGTTGTTGGTTTCTTAAAAAGGGATGAAGTGTAACTACAGAGTCAGAAGTCGGAGAAAATATACAATAAACTTAAAGGTCACCTATCATGCTATTTTTAGGCCATAGCATAGGTCTCAGATATATACAAATATATAAAAAACATGTCTATGAAGTGTTTTGCTCAAAATACCAAACAGATCACCCATTCTAGCCATGCCTCATATCCCTCTGTTTCCCTTCCTGTTTCAAAAGCGATGATTTGGGGTATAAAGCTTTAAAATAAAAGTAGGGGTCTGAGCTCATGCGGGACCCGGCAGCTACTGTCTAAACTAAATACTGCGGTGATGAAACGCCATATCATGGATTATCAAGGATTATTTCTGAAACAGTATGGAGCTCAAAGGCTTTCTCTCTTGCCGGTTATACCACAAGGGGAGTTCCTTTTTATTTCCTGCTTCTTCACACACATGCTCTCCAGTACAGGTTAGCTCTGAGTGTTAGCGATGCTAATGTAAACATAGACCATATTATGTCCAAAACAGTCGGGCATTGTTTCTGATAGCAACGTTTCTGATAGGGCCGTGGGTCCACATTTCAGATATTACGTCATATCGGACGCAAATCTGGATCAGCTCCGTTGTACCCCCCGTTTTTAGAGATTTGGGTACGGAGAAAAAGAGAGAGGGTTTTATTTTCTGACACTGCGTGAGTTCCCTGACACACCGGGGACACATTTTTATGTATAAAAGACATAAAAAAAGTGCATTTTGCAGGATAGGTCCCCTTTAAGGGGTGGCTGAAAGTAACATTGAGCAGTATCAGAATGCTCAATGTAGGGATGGATATTCTTAGCTTATAGCACTGGAAAACACAGAGAGGCTGCTCAAAGGTTGTCAAATTGAATTACTCTATTTGGGATGGATACGTATGGTTAAGTTTAATATATAAAAAAATATGCATATACTTCACAATAGAAAGGGAATAGCTCCAAAATGACCTTAAAGAGTCCAACTTTAACTGTGGCTTTGTGTTTTTTGTGTGTATGGAAAGTAAATAATGACTATATATGACAGTTCCTGATGTGATAAGGATTGACTCACCATATTTCAGAGTGGTGAAGGACTGAGTGGAGCTCTGGGCTGAGCCTCGGACGGTCAAAGCGTTGATCCAGGTGTCATACTTGGTGTTGCTGGACAACGACTTCAGAGTGTATGAGGTGGTGTTGCCTGGCACGGTTATCTCTGAAAATGAGAATAAACAGAAATCAGCAAGGATGTGGTCATGTAAGGAAAACTATTCTTAGAGCCTGTGCCCATGTAGCACCTGCTTTTGGCAGAAAGGCGCAAAGGATTCTGGGAAGAGCCTTTCAAGCATTTCATCAAAAAAAACCTGAACCTACTGGCCCCTGCAGTGAATAGAGAGCAGCTGGGTCAGAACACCATGAGAGAGGAACCCACCGTGTGTTTCACCTCCACCTTTGTAGTTTATGGTGTAATTTGTGATGAAGCCTCGCCGCCTGTGAAGGGGGATCTCCACCCAGCCGAGCTCTGCCTCGTTACGTCCTGGTTTATCGTTCAGTCTAACAGGGCCCTCTAATGGAGCTGCAAACACAACCACAACAACAAAGATTAACATGCAACTTTAGTGACTCCAAATGTACCGGTTACAGCAGCTCAAGTGAGTAAAATCAAACAAAACTACAATAAGTAAAAAGTATGTTAATTATTAATCATTGGGTTATCTGAATTTATAACAGACTGACTTCATGACTGCAACATCACAGGAGGAACTGGTTTAAGTTAACACTTTGTCATACAGTTTAATCAATAGAGTGCCACAGTGACGCGTCCCAACACCCGGAAGTAAACTCCTTCCAGTTCCTTGGACATAAAAGCAATGCAATTTCTCCATATGATTTTGGAAAATAGCTGGAAATAAGGTCTGTGGTTGAGACGCATTGAAGAGACGGATCACGTTTTGTTCAGCCGGATAATATCCACATGTCTACCCTACTTTTATAATTTTCGAATCATAAATCTAGTCGCCAGAAGCAAAATGCTAACGTTATGCTATAAACGAACTACAGCAGGGACGCTGCTTCAACGTCACGCCAACTTAAGATCCATATTCAAAACTACAGATTCTAAATGGTACAGGTTGAAGCGTTTGTTTGAACAGTTTGCAGGAGGCAGGCACTTGCTTTCAAGCAGAACAGGGCAAACAAACTTAGCGGGAGTGTTTACCAAGCCCCCAGGAAGTGCGCCGGACTCTGATGAAAATATTCGTTGTGTCCAAACGGCGGTACTACAATTTCCGTATCAGTCCGTGACGTCACTGGGCCCAGAAAGACTTTTCCCCATTGACTAACATTGGGAAAGAGACGTCTGTAAATCAGCGGATAATTTTTTTTTAACTAAATAAACTACTCAGCATGAACTATTTGATATCCCTTATTAGAATCATTCGGTCCTTAAAGTTGTAAAATGCACTAAAAGCCGAATCTAGATTTATTTTCTGTCTCCATTCATTCTACTGAGCCGAGAGTGGGAGCTCGGGGGGCGGGGCTTAAGGGGCGCATGCTCTGTGAGCGCACATACGGGTTCTTCTGCTCAGAAAGCTAGGCATGACGGGTAATCTGTGACGTTTCGCTCTCTCAAAAGTTGGGCCATTTTGTCATCATGTACCAATGAGCAGCTCTCATAGGAAAGAACGAGACCCCGCCTCCCGCGCTGTATCCAGTTCTTATTATACATCCATGGTGTTTACGTGTTCGGCGTAATGATGTAAAACGGCCTCGACAACTTCTGTAGTCCTATTCAGCCACTTGTTAACAACCATCGTTTTTCAGACACGTGGGGTCACTGCTGATGTATTTAATGTCGTAGAACAAAACGTGATTCGTCTCTTAAATGTGTGTCAACCACAGACATTATTTCTGTGGTAAAATGCTAACTTACTTCCGGGTTTCAGGACGCGGCTCTGCACCACTCTACAAGTCTATCATAAATCATTTTAATAGTGGCTCATTATTGATTTCAAACAATTGCATACAGTTTTCAATGAAGAGATGATTCTTGACGCAGTTTACACAGCTGTAGACAGGTTGAAATACACTTTTTAATAGAACATGAAGATGTAGCTGCTGATCATATGGCAAAATAATAATGATAATAATAAAAATACACTTTATTTATATAGCACCTTTCATGCTCGAAGTGCTTTACAGAGTATGACAGAAAATGACAATAAAAAGTGGGGAACATAATACTACAAAAATGCCCTAAATTAAAAGCCAAATTAAAAACATTGGTCTTTTAATTTACTTTTAAAAATGCCAATGCTGTTCTAAGGTCCAATGGGAGGCTGTTCTCTGAAGACACTTGAATGTTTGAGTCTGTAAATAGTGTTTTTATAATCTAATTTGTATCAGATTTTGATATACAATGGTTGAGTAATTGATGATCAGTGGGATCTTACCTCCATCCTTCAGGTAGACTTCTTTACTTGCTGGCTTTCCAATCCGTCCAGAGTAGATTGAATACACAGAGACGGTGTAGCGGACAAACTCCTCAAGGTTGCCTATAAGTATAATTATAGTTATTGTTAGTTCAGAGTAAAGCTTGGAGACTCTTCATAATCCAGCAACAGTCACTTTTACGCTGCTATGGACATTTTTGCACATCTCTTTTTTTTTATATATATATATATATATATATATATATATATATATATATATATATATATATATATATATATATATATATTTATCCTGCTTACTTGAAGTAAACTAAACGGTTATTTAGTGTTTTGTTTTGTTTTATTATTGAGTGTTCTTGCATTTTAATGTGTTTTTTTTTATACCTCGGGACTGTGGGAAACAGTATTTCAATCTTTCTGTTTGTACAAACATATTTTGAGATTGACAATAAAGTTGACTTTGACTTTGATAACCGTGTATTACGAGGAAAATCAGTAATAAGATAACCAAGGTAATGCAGTGCAGAGTTTCAAGGCTTTTATTGTCATGAGTGCATAGCTACAGTGTAGTTATGACAACGAAAATCTTAGGTCACTCCCAACAGTGCAACACAACAAAACAGATAAAATAGTGCAAGTAAATACAAATAGAATAGATTATAGTAGAAATAGTGCAGAATAGTTTATATACAAGTAATTGGAATATTGATATAAGTTGCAAACGGAATGTTATGGATGTTCTTTCAAAAGTTCAGGTGTTTAACAGTCTTAGGTCGCATTCACACCAGCCTTGTATAGTCCGGTTGAATCGAACCCTGGTGCGTTCAGCCGCTTGGTGCGGTTCGTTTGGGTCGGTGTGAACGCAGTCCGAGACCTCTGAAGTGAACTAAACAACCGGATTCTGGTCCGCTTAAAAAGAGGTGGTCTCGGACGGCTTGCTAGTGAACTCTGGAGCGGTTCATCGCTGGGGTGAACGCAGTCCGCACCAAAACATAGGAAGCGTAGTATTTACAAGTCACAAGAACGCGGATGTCTTCAAAATCTTTAGCGATGAGTGAAGCAGAATGAAGAGTTGAACTGTGTCGTGTAAAGTAAAAATGCTCGGTCAACTATACATAAAAGTAAGAGCCACCTGTCGTCGGTGAAACCTCCTCCTGACTGCAGAACTTCTCATTATATCATATGTGTTTTAATGTTTTTCTTACGTCTGATTATATAATCATATGCTGGCCGCTAGAGTCTGTTGATATGATCTCCAGATTAACAGCAGCATGAAAATAACCTGCCGATGCTCCAAAACTACGGTAGAAATTGCCGGGATTTGCGTTTTTACCCCCTTAATGTCTGACCAATCGTTGAACAGCATTTCCGTGCACATGACTTGTGTTTAAAGTTTATAGTCCGTTTGTGTTTTGCCCGTGTAAACGCAAACCGAACCTTCTGAAAAATGAAACAATGTAACAAACTTGTCTGGTGCGCACCAGAGAAGCGGACTATTAGGTGTGAATGCGACCTTAGTAGTGTGGTAGTACTTAGTAGTCTCAGAGTAATGTGTGTTTAGAGGAAATGGAGATTACCTTTAATGGCAGTGAGCCTGGTGTGTTTGTTTTCCCTCTGCCAATCGGTCTGATCCCCACTGACCCACTCCACAACATACTCGGACACTCCTGAACCGTTGGGGGGGGTCCATTGCAGCCACAGCTTGCCCTCAGCTGACCACACCTTCAGCCCTTTGACGGGGGGGTACTCTGTAACACACACACACACACTTGATCTTACATTGTGATCAACAGTGTCACAAAGAGGGCGATGCAAATGAAAAAGTGTTTACAACAGTGAGAAAGATGCTAGCATTAGCTGCAGCAGGTGTGGTTCAGGCTTTGCGAATAAGTTGTAACGGCAATTTCGTTGTTCCAATGTCCTATATTCTTTTATTGCCATTACTTCACAGGAGAAATGAGTGATCGTAGTGTTCAAAATAGTAGTGCACTATAAATATAAATTAAATAAACTGACATGCCAACAACACCCATAAAATGGCTCCTACATAAATCCTCATGACATTTCGTTGTGCATGTAAATTCGACTTTATATACAAAAAAAAAAAAAAGTCTAACAATTATTATTACACGGCTTAGTTGAATAATAATTCTGATTGGTCAATTTGGACATATAGCAGCCTGCTCTTCTCCAATAGCAGATTGTCACGCTAAGAACGCTTTGCTAAAGAGACTATGTGCAGTGATATCAATCCGCAGAAAGAAGTCCGGTCAGCTGGAGCCATCAGAAAACACCAGTGAATACTTTTTCAATATTTCATTTAATATTTGTGGGGAGCAAGAAACGTTGGATTCAAGATGGCTAAACTTTCCCCAGTAAAGAAGGGGAAAAGAGGGGAATAAAACAAGGCAAGAGAAGGGAAGAGGTTAAAAGACTCAGAGCTGTAAGTCAGAGATATCAGCAGAAGAAGACAGACAGGAAATAAACAATAAAGGGAACAACTGAAATGGGGACTGTCGTGTCAAATGATCATATAATCATTTAAAACATATAGTCTTATACTCTGATTGCCTTTTACACTGTTACATTGTATTTTTAGTCTTGTATGTGTTTAACAGAGACAGATGTTAAGGATTTACATTTCAGGAGGGCAAAGGAAGTAAAAGGTGGATTTGCAAGTGGTTAAGGACTAGGGGGTTTTCTGGTTTAGATGATGATGCCTAAGGGAATTTAAGGGTGGGACCAGTTGGCTTTTCTCTCTACTATATAGTGTGACTGTAAGCTGTGCTCTGGGTGCCGAACATCTCTATCCTCTGAGGATGAAGTTGCTCTGTTCCTACAGTTGGGATCAATTTCACTTGTTTATTTCTTTATTACTTTATTAAATATAACAAGACAAACTTTGTCAGTTTCTCTTAAAGGTCCCCTATTATACTGTTTTTCATCAATAAATAATTTATAGGTCTCAGATATATACAGAACATGTCTCTGATTGGCTGAAACACCAAACAGATCATTGCAGCATCCCATAATCCCCTCTATTTCAGCCCTGTTTCTAAAGTGCTGATTCTCTGTCTGTTACTTCAGATGAAAATAAGGAGCCCCTCCCCACGCCACTCTGAGAGAGATTTGGTTAGAAAGAACACAATGGTGCTCTAGGAGGAGATTCAGGTGATAAGGGGGGGGGGGGGGGTTACCTTGGTTGGTGATTGGCTAATGGTTACACAAGCCAAAACATCGTTATGACATCATAAAGAGGCCAAAATCTGATCAGCTGATAGGTGACCTTTAAGAATTTCCTCCACAGGGACCAACATTTGAGAGACATGTTGTGTTGAGTGCCATTTTACACAGAAAAGAATACACCCAGTGGTTCAGATTAAGCGCTGCCTGTAGTCAGAGTCTCTTACCATGTCCTTTTGCTAAGATGAGTAACGATGCCATGGGAGATTTCCCCACCGAGTTGCTAGCGGTGACGTAAAGTTTGACAGCTTTCAGGTCAGCCAGGAGCATATCTTTAAGGACGGTGATCACCCGCTGTCCATCGCTGCTCTCTGAGCCGTTCACTAGGATAGTATCCCACTGCAAATTGTCATTCTTTTGCTCTTGAATCTTTATGTCAAATGTTATTATCCTCCCATTGGCGAACACAGGATCCTGGCAGGAGAAAATCACAAATGTAACCCATTGTTAATTTATATACCACCTTTTAGTACCGTGTATTCAGCCCTTTTAATGATGATAAAAACGAATTCAAAGCATAAGGCTGACACTAAAAAAAAACTGATGAATTAATCAGTGTTAAAATATATTTTAGAAAAATATTGATGAAATGTTAATATCATAAGATGTAATTTCACTCTCAGTAGATGCTATGGTAGTATTGTAAAGTGTAATATCGGTATCATTAGATGTAATAACACTCTTTAGATGTAGTAAAATAAGTATAATTAGGTGTATTGGCATTTATATCACAAACAATATTAGTATTGTTAGGTTTAATATTATTATCACTAGGTTTAATATAAGTATCATTAGGTTTGATCGATATTACTATTAGTATATTGCAGTGGCGAGCCGTGACTTTTATACCTAGGCCCTCTGACCCCCACCACTTCCCTTGAAAAAAAAAAAAAAAAAAAGTAATTACGTCACAGCGTATACTTCAGCGGAATATCAAAACAACGGCCCAGGGTGCAAAACGCATCAATGAAAGCGACCCTCTACCACACAAAACAACACCTGTGAACCCAATTTGTGTTCTTTGAAATTGAAAAGGATATTGCATTGTGTTTGTTACTTTCGTTGCAGTTGTAAGTGTAATTTGGCATGCTTTTATTTTGAAGGTGAGTTTACGCTGTTGACAGGAAGTTGTTGTTGCTATGGAAACAAGAAAAGCTTCACAGCAGGCGGAACTTGTCATAAAGTCCACGATAATAAAACCCACCCATTTAGAGGGAAGATACGATTGGTCAATTGTACTGTCATTTGACATTACTCGCTCGTTCAGTTACTATAGCTCGGCCCTCTGTGAATTCACAGCTGGACCACCAATCAGCTCCTCTCTTCACAGTAACTCGCAGGGACGAGCTTCTTTCATTTAACCCTTCACATTCAACAGAATAGGGCAGATTATTTATTTGGAAATGTTATTTTAAATACAATTAAATCAAGTTATTTTGGTAAAACTAATGAAAAATATAACAAAAAAAGAAATATTTTTTTATGTTTTTAAATATTATTTTGTAGATTATCTTAGGGCCCTGACGGCTCGCCACTGGTATATTGATATTAGTATCATTGTATGTAGTGGTTTTAGTATCACAAGGTGTAATATTAGTGGTTTAACAGTTTGTTAAATTGACATTGCATGTGATGTGGGAATTTACCTTAGAAATAAACTGCACTCGCCGTTCATTTTTGCCGTCAACCTCAGCAATGGTTCTCCACACATCTGGTTTACTTGTTGGTCCTATGCAAAAATAAAAAACAGGTACAGGTAAGTAAATATTTTTGTTTACGCCATGTCTTACAAATGTAGCCTACAGCTAAAAATGTAAGTGGGCGGATTCCTTAGTTCAGTAAGTCTTGAAAGGAAGCTCTAAAGGACTGAGGACTCAGGTACATTATACTGGATATCTTTCTGAAGTCCTTCAATTGTCTTTGTTGTATTTGAGTACTTTTAGTTAGTGAAAGCTGTCTGAACTCACGGTCCTCTGCTGTTTTCGTGGTTGTGTTGTCGCTCCAGTTGCTCCAGTAGCCCAGTTGGCAGCGCACCTGAGTGATATATTCTGTGTATGGCTGAAGGCTCTGGAGTCTGAAGCTCTGGATGTCCATGGCTATGTCGCTTTTAGGTACCTGAAGGAAATAAACACAACTCTTTTATTGATTTTGACAACTAGTAATGAGAAACATAAAAAACAGCAGACATGTCGGTTACCCAAGAGTACAAAGTAAAACTGTAAAAAAAAAGTAACCTGGCTAGAAGACATAAGGAATAAAGAATAACACTGTTTAAATGCCATGCTGGCTGACTGACTGAAAACACTGGGACACTGAAATGAAATATTGCAATAGTTCCCTCACTGCTTTTCATGCCATGATGAAAATGCACATGAGAAGTTGCTCTGATTGGTAGAACGAAACAAAAAAAACATACTTACATAAGTCCAATTTGGAGATCCAATTGCGCAGAATCTTATTTCATATTTTAATTTCCCATAAGTTTTATCAATAGGCTGAGTCCAGTTCATCAGAGGAGAGGTGGGAAAATCCTTCTCTGAAATAACTTTGATGTCTGATGGAGGGTTTGTTTTGACTGCAACAAAAGACACAACAAGCTGTCAGTCATTGTCACATTTCGGCAGAGCCAGCAGAGTGACAGATGTCTTGTACTGCGGACTAAGATATGGAGTAAGAGAGGTAACTTCGGGGTTTATGCTGAGTTTTCAGTTCTACACTGGTGGTTCATTTCCTTCTGGGGTAGAACCAAGCCCCCAGGAAGTGCGCCGGACTCTGATGAAAATATTCGTTGTGTCCAAACGGCGGTACTACAATTTCCGTATCAGTCCGTGACGTCACTGGGCCCAGAAAGACTTTTCCCCATTGACTAACATTGGGAAAGATACGTCTGTAAATCAGCGGATAATTTTTTTTAAACTAAATAAACTACCCAGCATGAACTATTTGATATCCCTTATTAGAATCATTCGGTCCTTAACGTTGTAAAATGCACTAAAAGCCGAATCAAAATGTATTTTCTGTCTCCATTCATTCTAGTGAGCAGAGAGTGGGAGCTCGGGGGGCGGGGCTTAAGGGGCGCATGCTCTGTGAGCGCACATACGGGTTCTTCTGCTCTGAAAGCTAGGCATGACGGGTAATCTGTGACGTTTCGCTCTCTCAAAAGTTGGGCCATTTTGTCATCATGCGCCAATGAGCAGCTCTCATAGGAAAGAACGAGACCCCGCTTCCCGCGCTGTATCCAGTTCTTATTATACATCCATGGGTAGAACGCCATGCTCACTTATGCTCAACACCTGGCTGTAAAGCACCACCTGCTGAACAATCAGAGCTCGGTGTGCTCTTCGTAAAATAATATTACACGAATACAGAGAAGTTTAAAGAGGAGATATCATGCTAATATTTTTGATTTGTGTCTCTACTGTGACATGTCTCCATGCTTAAAGGAGGCGTGTGGCGCAGTGGGTTAGTGCGTTGGTGTTCGGATCAGGGGAGCACAGGTTCAAACCCCACTGCAGTCAGCATGTCGTTGTGTCCCTGGGCAAGACACTTCACCCCAAATTGCTTCTGTGGGGATTGTATTGAGTATGTAAGTCGCTTTGGATAAAAGCGTCTAACAAGTAACATTACGGCCCAATCCCAAACCAGGAGGGCGTGGTTTGGGATTGGGCCGTAATGTAATGTAATGTTAAATGTTCAAAAAGCTCTTTATTTGTCTCATACTGCAGCACCTCTTTTCACCCTCTGTCTGAAACCAGAGCCTGATAAATATAACAAATAAACATATTTATTATTGGAGATGAATAAAGTAGCCTATATCTTCTATTTCTATTCCAAAAGAATGCATCTAACCAACGCAATTAGTTGCCTAAATCTCAAAATGTCCAGATGTTCTTCCTGCATGTGGCAGCTTTAACTATGTTGCTTTTAGTCTGCATTAGCAGTTTAACTCGTGTTGTTTAGATTTTAACCTTTTTTGTATACCTTTATTATAGTCTACTCGTCATTTGTGATCGATAACGCCCTTATGACAGCACACAAGTCCATGTCTGTGATTGGTCGAATGCTACTAACTCCGCCCCTTCCAAGTGAACTCGCTCTTAAAGGTCCTTACACACCAAGCAGATTTCGGCCCTCGATAGATGTCTGGCCGTCGATGAGCGTCCTGTCGCCCTACTCAGATTGGTGTGTCCCGCCCCGTCGTGTCTTTTCAGCCGTGCCGACACCTTCCGCCGCCGATTCAACATGGCTGTCGGCTAAAGGCCGTCGGCTAAAGAAATCACTCTGATTGGCTGTTCAGCTTAGCGAATCAGTGCATGAGAAGCGAAACGGAAGTGAGGGACCCAAACAAACGATTAAGAAGGCAAATCTGAGATTTCATTTAACTCCAGCTCTCGACACAGGTTCGGGAAAGCCCCATGAGCTTCTCGCTGTAGAGGGAAAATGGAACGCACACGCTATTTGTTGTTTGTTTATATCACGCAGTCTGTTCTTCTTCTCTCGGTGTATCACGCAGTCTGTCTTCCGGTTGTTGCCTCTTTTGAATGACGAATACACACTACCGCCGCCTGCTGGTAAGGAGAGTTATTGCCACTCACGAATGCGCAGTTCGTACGTGCTACTTGGCCGTCGGCTGAAGTCTTTGCGGTGTGTTCCAGTGCGACTGTTGGCCAAGACGCAGGAGACGTCAGGCAACACAACAGTCGGGCCTATCGGGACGTGTTCTTTGGTGTCAGATTGGTGTGTAGGGGCCTTTAGACTGAGAAACCCTGGGTGGACTTAATGAATTGATTACCGTTGTTTTTGGACCATTTAGCTGGATGCATAATTAAACCAGATAACACAAAGATATTCAATGCATGTTGAACTGGCTTTTTGGTACAGGTCAGAACAGGCAGACATAAAGCTGGAAACACTGTGGAAATGTGACAATTAAATACAATTGAACTTACCAAACGAGTTAGCATCTTGAGTTATATGCTCAGACTCAATTTTTCCCAGTTTATTGTGTGCTTCCACCCAAACCTCCAGGTTCATAAAATGGGGGTAAGTGTCACCAAGGTCCACTTGGGCGTGGGTTCCCTCCGTGGACACATTGTAGTTCTGACTGCTGAACATGTAAATAAAATAAATACCATTTAAAGGCACTCAAAAGCTACACAAACATAGTTGAAAATGAAATACTTTTAATTTTTTGACATTCATTTGAAGTTTCCAGCCCTGTCTTATATGCTATAAAGACATTTGTTGACCTAGGACAAGGCATGAATAAGTATTGTTAATAATTTATGTTTATTCAAATCATTATTTTTGTAATCGTGCTATGGAAACAAATGTCACATTTCCTGCCAATAAAGCCTATTAAATAAAAAAAAGCTTGGTATACTCACTGAATGACTACAACATTCAGGGTGTATTCTGTCGGGACATCGCTGGTTTGACGTCCGACTGTCGCCCACTGACAGCTGAAGATGCTGGAGATTGTAGTTTTCTCCTGAACGGCCACACAGGAAACATTCTCAGGCTTCCCTGGTGGATCTGACATGGAGACAAACAGCACACAGACATCATTCAAAAGCTTGTGTGCCCTTTTTTCACAGACATTTATTTAAACATACAGAGACAACTCCAAGATAAAAGTGAGGGTGGAAAACACCTTTAATTACAAGGGTTTCTCGATTTAATTCTTAGGGTGTTTTAATCAAGCCTAAATAACTTCTCCGCCACTGAACGTCAGAATGAAACTGAACAAAGTACTTCACAGTAAACCGGGGTGTGTCCACAACTACAATGGGACAGTTTCCAAAAAGGATGTATGACTGCGATCACTAGTGAATATTATGGCAGACGCTTCGGGTGATGACTTAAAGGTCCCCCATTATACTGTTTTTCATCAATACATTACAGGTCTCAGATATATACAGAGCCTGTCTCTGATTGGCTGAAATACCAAACAGATCATTGCAGCATCCCATAATCCCCTCTGTTTCAGCCCTGTTTCAAAAAGGGCTGATTCTCTGTCTGTTACTTTAGATGAAAATAAGGAGCCCCTCCCCACGCCCCTCTGAGAGAGATTTGGTTCAAAAGAACACAATGGTGCTCTAGGAGGAGATTCAGGTGAAAAAATTGTTATGACATTATAAAGTGGCCAAAATCTGATCAGCTCATTTTCAGACAGGTTTTTATATAAATGGATCAGGACAAAAAGAGAGAGAATCTTTTTTCCTGAAACTTCCAGAGTCTCTTTACACAGAGGGGACACATGTTGATGTAGATAAGACATGAAAAGGTGGATTTTGCATAATAGGTGACCTTTAAATATTTGTCCTCAAACTGTCTATAGTAAATGCATACCATGAGTTAGCAATGACCTAACCTATAAGCATTAAATACAGGTAGTTAGAAAACAGCTTTGGTTTTAGGTGCCAACAATAACAACTTACAGCCTTTCTTCAGTTGGACCCCGTACATAAATTTGCCTGGGTTCAGGTAAACGTAGGAGGACTTTCCCTCTTTTGCCCTGCAAAATAACCATTGAGATTGTACACTGGTGACGGGGATCGTGACACTGATAGCCGATTCATTGAGCTTGGTGTACAGCTCTTTGGATACAGTATCTACAGTCTTAGACAGTTTCCAGTAGAGGTCATCAGCTGTAACTTCCGTTGTGTTGATGATCATGCATGTAGCCTTGAAGTTAGAGCCGATCTCTAGAAATTGTGTTGTCTGTGGGGCTGTCACCAAATGGTTGGTTTGGGAAAACCCTACAGAGTCAAAACAAAGATACAGGCAGAGAGCCTTGGTAAGAAAAAGCATTTTCTTAAAAAAAACGTTTAACCCTCCTGTCGTGTTCGGGATAAATCTGATTTGCTACTTACATCAATCATACATATTGTGTTTTACGTTTGATTGCTTCAAGGCCTTATGATATCCTCCACAGTAGGCATCTGAACATATTGCTGATCACCACTTTCATTTAACTTTGAGTGGTTTAGTCCGCTTTGTAACACCTATGATGTTCCCGGTAAAAAATGACCGCCATAGGAAATGAATGGGTAACCCTGGATGATGTTCATCCATCAGATAGCACACACACCCAATCGAACTGTGTCTATTCTTTGTATATTCATCGCAGTTATTCATGTACACCAGTCGTCTGAGACTTTGTTGACAGCGTAAAAAGGTGTTAAATCAAATTTGGTAGAGACTAATTGATTTTGTGTTAATGTAAGAGCAGTTAAAACAGACTGGGAACACCAAAGTAAAGGGGGGGAGCGATGAACCCGACAGGAGGGTTAAAGAAGCAAACAGAGGACAAATCCCATTTCAATGCGAACATACTGACTTGTGATAGCAGGAAAAGCAAAAGTATAAGAACAGTCCCTTAGAAGTGAAGCATCTTATTGGAATTCAGCAAACAGCACAAGACCAAAATATAAAACTATTATAAAAAAACATTTAAAAAAGACATTTATAACTTTAAAATATAGAGAAATATTTACATGAAATATAGATATACCAAGAATACTACGTACAGTACAGTATAATATGATAAAATGAAATTGAATCAAATCAAATATGTGCAGTATTGGTTTGGAAAATGGTAAGCCGTGCAGAAATATTTAAAAAAAAAGTAGCTTTGTGTACAATGTGCCAAATATTAAGAGGGTTGTGCAGGACTGACGGTAATGACTTCAATCAGTGTTGGAATGTAGTAAAATACATATACTCAAGTACCGTACTTAAAGGGGACCTATCATGCAAAATGCACTTTTGTACGTCTTTTATACATGAATATGTGTCCCCGGTGTTCCAGGGAACTCACCAAGTGTCAGAAAACACAACCCTCTCTATTTTCCTCCATACCCAAATCTCTAAAAAAGGGGCTGCAACGGATCTGATAAAAACTGATCCAGATTTGAACACGTTACTGACGTCAGGACAGTGGCGCTACGGCTATTGGAGGGTATATCCAGGAGGGAGAAGTACTCAGATGTTGTACTTGAGTAAAAGAAGAAGTACTCAGATCTTGTACTTGAGTAAAAGTAGAAGTACCAGAGTGTAGGAATACTCTGTTACAGTAAAAGACCTGCATTCAAAATGTTACTCGAGTAAAAGTAGAAAGTATTATCATCAAAATATAGTTAAAGTAGCGACAGTAAAAGTAGTCATTGTGCAGATTGGTCCATTTCAGAATAATATATATGATATGTTTTATAATGATTGATCATTAAAGTGATATCAAAGCTGGTAAAGGTGCAGCTAGTTTGAATGACTTTGTATTAGGGCTGCTCAATTAATCGTATTTTAATCGCGATTACGATTATGGCTTGCAACGATTACGAAAACAACGTAATCGAAATAAAACGATAATCTTTTATTATTCCTTTTTTTTTGGTTTTTCAGTTGAATTATACTTAAAATTCAGGGTAATAGACTGTTAAAAACATACTGTTCAAATGTTTTTTCTCCAATAAATTGATGTTTTCAAAGTAAATGGATAATCGTTTTTAATAATCGTGATATCAATTATTGACCGAAATAATCGAGATTATGATTTTTGCCATAATCGAGCAGCCCTAGTCTTCAGTACAGGTGGCAATATTGTCACCTGCCTGCGCTCATCTCTGAAACCAGACCATGTAAACAGGCTGGTGTTTCTAGCAAAAAATCTTTAAGAGATGACATGAGCAGCCCTACCAGTGCCATGGTGGCCAAAACATTTTTATTTGGTCTTAAATTGTAGTTCAACATTTATTTCCTGTTACTTCTGGACCATGACGGTGGGCCAGCCTTTAATGTTTAACTGAGTGGAATATGTTGAATATGTTTTACCAAAATGTTGGCTATATGTTAAGGAGTTTTCAGGTTGTGACAGTGCACTGCAACATGTTTGTTGATCTTGTTTATTGGTATTTATTATTTTGATATTATTTATTTAAAATGTAGACATGAATGTATAATTAATTTTTATTTGATTTTGTATTGGTTTTTCAGTTGATTACCCTGAACGTATAATTCAACAGTTAAAAAGTTCAAATTATTATTTGTATTTGTTTTAAAGTACAATAAATGGATGTTTTCAAAGTCAATCAATAATCGCATTAAATAATCGCAATTACAATTATTGACCCAAATAATCGAGATTATGATTTTTGCCATAATCGAGCAGCCCTACTTTGTATACTGCAGGGTAGCTTGTGAATTTACTCTTTAATTAATGTAATGCATAGTGTATGGAGGGGCTGAGGGTAAGTGTCAGTGGGGGTCCCGGGCCTTTTTAATGAGAAAGAAGCGGTTATAATGTCAGGAGTTAGAAACAACAGGTACTGACCTCCTTTGGCAGGTACAGCCAAGACTAGGCCGGCTAACAGCAGCAGCTCTCCTGCAGACACCATGGTGACTCTCTGTGGACAAAAACACAATATTTTCAAGGTTCAAAAAGTTCAATGTCAGATCATAAACACAACTGCAGTGTAGTATAGTATATGATATCATTGACATTTACTTTCTCCATTAACAAGCACAACTAATGTCATTTAACTGTACCATTGACACTGCGAAATTATAGCTACACAATATATAGGTTTACAAATATACAATTGTAATATAAACTGTGACATTGTTGTAGTAGAGCCCCCAAACAAAACAATACTAGGTGATATTAGATGTGGTGTTTTTTCTTTATAAACCCTCTTTTTTTAACCTTTATTATGAGATGTAATGTTAAATGGAGATGTGTGACATCTTCAACAATGCAATATAAACATATACAAGACTTGAACAAAAAGGCACACTCAAAGGTAGCTTCAGTTCTGAGTAAAACTTTATAAACTTCTTCTCAGAAACCAGACATGGCGTAACGCCTAGGTAAGCTTGGCAGTTGTTCAGTTCATCTCCTCTGTAAACAGTTTTGCTTGAATAGCTTTATTGGTATTAGCTTGATAAGAAAGTATTACTGTGTAAGCTAGTAGTTGCTAACATGTCGTTAAAAAGCATGTTTCCTAGTGGCTAACAACGTATCGTTAGAGCTCACAGTGTTGCGTATTTATTTAAGCTAACATTTAGCTCAGTGCCCGCCGCCCTGCTAACGCCATATTGTTTCCGCTATCAAAATCTTCATAGTATAACTTACCCAACTGGCTTCAATGTTGGTGCGTGTAATCTCCGTTAGATCAATACCATATTTATGTATCGATAAAACCTTTTAATGGTCAAAACAAGAATTGGAGTGGTCATTTGTGTGTCGTCCAGTGAATCTGTGGAAGGTCCACCCACTTCCCGTCAATGATAGTCATGTCGCAGCAATGTTGCCAAATAACTCCTCGATCTCACAGCATAGGAATGGACAAACGGCTGGTGGTTGGGCGCGCGCCCTGCCGTTTAGAGTTTAGAGATTTGCTAAAATGCTCGGTGAACACCTACTGTTTGATGATTGGTCAGGTAAGCTGTCTGTCAAAATATTATGACAAATAGGAGGTTCCCTGTTCGCCTGTCTGGTCCCGCCCCCAGTGTTGTTTTCCAGTATGTCCCCGCCCCTGGTGTTCAAAGAAAGAATGCACGTGCCAACCACAGGTTAGTGGGCCTCTTGTCCTTAAAACAAGAAGGTGGGAGAAGTACTCAGATATTGTGCTTGAGTGAAAGTAGAAGTACCAGAGTGTAGGAATACTCTGTTACAAGTAAAATACCTGCATTCAAAATGTTACTCGAGTAAAAGTAGAAAAGTATTATCATCAAAATATAGTTAAAGTAGCGACAATAAAAGTATTCATTGTGCAGATTGGTCCATTTCAGAATAATATATATGATATGTTTTATAATGATTGATCATTAAAGTGTTCTCAAAGCTGGTAAAGGTGCAGCTAGTTTGAATGACTTTGTATACTGCAGGGTAGCTTGTGAATTTACTCCAGGTGGAACTAAAGTCTGATTTAACACTTGATTATATTTTCACATAATTCATCCAGATCTGTAAAGTAACTAACGGGATTAAATACATGTAGTGGAGTAAAGGTGCAACCCACCACTTTCTAAAAATATAATTTGTTCTACTTTATAGTTTGCACCAAGAAACACTTTGAGTAAGGTTTGTTTTATTTATCTTTTTTGTTTTTGTTCTAGTCAGTATATATTTGTAGTGGTATTACATTTATCTTAAGGGTAAGTGAAAGTGCTTGGCTTGCTATTCTTTTATTATCTACAATAACAAGTGCTAAGGAGAGACCTTCTATGCTGCTATTTCTTTAAATGGTGAAATGTAGTTCATGTATCCGCCCTGTGATTCGTATCTGCAACTATTTAATTGGTTCTTCCTTTCCCCCACGCTACACCCTTCTGCCAAGTTTCATGCAAATCAGGTGTTCCATAATTCCCAGACAGTCGGACAAACAGTAGAAAAAACCGTAGCTCCTTGGAAGAGGTAATTACTCAGAAACAGTCGCTGCAACCAATGACGTGTTCGTGTGTGTTGATCATAGTTTGATAAGCGCTCGGGAGTAATGGTTTTGATTTGCTTGTTTGTGTTCTACTAACTCTGCTTTCATTTCAGACCCAGAGTCAGACACTCCCATTCTCCTGCTCTCCCATCAGTAGATTATCTCTGATTGTTGATGATCTCCACTCACCTGCTGCCCTTTCCCTCATCAGCTCACTAGTATATATACAGTTTGTCAGAATGTCTCATTTAGTGTCTCATTTAATACTAAAGCCTGCCAGTACTTGACTTCTGCTCAAGTGTTTGACCTTGGCCTGTTTTCCCCCGAGCTGCGAGTTAGCTTAGCCTTTTACCTGGTTTATCTTGGCTTATCTTTCCGTGCTCCTTTGTCTTAACTAGACTCTGTTTTTTTTTAAAACCTGCCAGGGGTTGCTTGTACTTGAGAGGTTAGCAGACAGGAAGTTGTATGATATTTAAATGACCTCAGAGTGAAAGTCACAACATGTGCAATCTGATAAGATTATGAAACCATCGCATTTCAGGAATTCACTCATTTTTAAAAGATATAAAACTTTTATTCAGTTAGATCAGTCAGTATTACAGCTCCCAACTCTTTATTCAATTCAGCTTTTAACAGTCTCACACACATTTCCTCTATTTTGTTTTTGTATTTGGAAAATAACTCTAATGCTGACTTTTTAAAATGCATAATAAACCTGCCTAAAAATGACCTAAATAACTGCCTAAAATGTGTGTTTTTTTTAACATAATACAATTGTATTGCCCCAAAATTGGTACGGTAGATCAGATGAGTTAGTGTACGTCTATAACATATCTGGGACATATCTGTAACACACTTTATCAACCAATAGAAAGACAACAAATACGTTTTCAAGTGCACATCAGAAACTCTTGGGTAAAGGAGAAATGTCTTTTGTGTGCAGTAGTAACTATCATGTTTTTATCATTACTTACTTAGAACTGCTGTGTCATGTTTTGGTCAAACTTTTTTTTAAGCAACAACTTCTCTTGATGTTATTGTTTTCTATGACTTCCACGTGCACACAAGACCTTTTTTTTTATCGATGACAGGATCCTTCTGATGACCTCCAACAGTTTCTAATGCACACCGAATAGCTCTTAGTTTGCATAAAGACACTTGGTAGGGGGCTCCATAGATCTAGTTCTGAACCAATCGTCACATCTGATGTGGTGTGCTGGGAGCTCGGAGGAGGGCTCTATAGATTGTTGAGCTCCAGGAGGGTTTGGTCCAACACCTGGTGCATGTCCAGGTTCTCCTCTTTGGCCTGGGCCAGTTTCTCTGGAGGAGGGAACAAAGCCACACGTGAGTTTCCTGTCTGGACCTGGAGATGCGTCTTCTAAACCAACACAGTGTTTTTGCACTGTCAGTGCATTGTTTACTGTACAAGGGTTTGCCAAAAACACAAGAAGCTCAATCTGCTGGTAATAGAGAATCTTAAGAGGAGATGACATTTCGAGAGCACCCTAAACCTGCTTTGATTTTACTACTACGCTTTATTCTACAAAATTTACATTGTTATGATTTTCTGATGAATTCACAGCTAGTTTGCTGAAAAAAACGGTGTCATTTAGCATTTATTATACTGGGGTTGCATGCAATGATCATTCTCATTATTGATAACATTACAATTGATCATTTAACCAGTAAGTCTATACATACAATAATAATAGTAAATGTATCAATGGCAAAAAGTTGCATAGAGCTTAGTCTTTCAGTAAGGATCCAAAACACAATATGACATAACAAAGAAAAGAAAAGAAGACATCAAACATTGTTTAAAAGTTTAGTCACACTCAAAAAACTAAAACGATGATGTACTCAATTTAATTGGTGAAACATTTTTACACTTAAAAATATTGAGTCAATCTTAAAGCTGTGAAATCATTTAAATGTACCTTATGAATTGAGTAAATGTAAGTAAAAAAATCAAGTAGGTCTAAATAACTACATTTAGTACCAGAACATATACAATTGAGTAAATATAATTAAAATCCTAAGTCAATGCAATAGTAACCCCAAGTCAAAACCACCATTTTTTTTTAGTAGATATCACTTAAATACTAGGTAGATGTAACTGAAAAGGAGACTATTATTTAACAAAACAAATGTGTGAAATGTACTCGATGATTTTAACTACATTTAATTAAAACTGGACTATTAATTATATAAATATATGTGTTACATTTACTTATTTTTTTTAACTGTATTTACCCCAGGAGTGCTTTACCTGAGGTCAATACATCTAATAAAACCAAAAGAGCAATTGTACACATTGACATTTTAATTACATATTTATTGTTCAAATTTGACCAGTATAACACATCACATTAAGTCTCAACCTGGTTTAGTTAGCATATTACATTTGTAACAATTAGGGGCTGTTCTTGACAAAATACATTCTTAGTCGACTAACACTCGTACACATTTGATGACTAATCGATTAAATCAACATATTCTTCACAAAGAATCACACAACACCACTTTAAATCCTTGTGTTTACCAGAGATATCTATGAGGGTCCGTTAGGCACATTATTCAGAAATACCGTTCACATACACATGTGAAGCACTCTCACACACACACAACTGAAACCAAAATAATTTACAAACATATGTAAAAATCTCTCACACACACATGTGAAACGCTCTCACACACATATGAAACAATCTCTTATACACAAATTAAACGCTATCATATACACATGAAATGCGATTTTGGTATGTTGTGTGAGGGATTTCAGTTGAAATGGAAGTCGTTTTAAAAAAACAGCGAAGAAGCGCAAATTTAAAAAAAGCGAACACAATATTATGTCCGTTTGCGATTGTTCCATCATGTCTGCTCAGCAGCATGCACAAAGCTGAGGCAGCAGCGTTGTTAAATAATATCCTGGCCTCAACACCATGCATCGTCCCTCTTCCCGTCCCGCGGCAGGCAACGGCCCACTACAGCTCCCCTTAGGAGAGACTGTGCACCCCGCTGAGGCCAGGATATTATTTAACAACGCTGCTGCCTCAGTTAAGCTTTGTGCATGCTGCTGAGCAGACATGATGGAACAATCGCAAACGGACATAATATTGTGTTTGCTTTTCTGAAATCGACTTCCTTTATCAACTGAGATGCCTTCCGTTTCAACTGAAATCCCTCTCACACAACATACTGAAATCGCATTTCATGTGTATATGATAGCGTTTCATTTGTGTATAAGAGATTGTTTCACATGTGTATATGAGAGATTTTTACATGTTTGTAAATTATTTTGGTTTCAGTTGTGTGTGTGTGAGAGTGCTTCACATGTGTATGTGAACGGTATTTCTGAATAATGTCCCTAACGGCCACTCATAGATATACGTTTCTTACAAATAAGTCATTCACCATGAAAAAAAAAAATTAAAATATTACTAATTGACTAAAGAAATCTTCATCGACCAAAACCACAAATAAAGTCAACTAATCGACTAAGAAGGGAGAGCCCTGGTAACAATGGCCAAGCTATAAAAACGATGAGCTGAATTGAGCTCTGCATATAACTAAGCGGTCCTTTTAAACACGGGTAAAATGCAACAAGACCAATTGCAGCAGAGACATCTTAGCATCAATGGAAATCTCAAATTTGATTATTTAGCAATAAAACTTTTAGGCATTTTATCTAGCTTAACTTTCAACCAGGTATATTTTTGCCAATGAGCATGTGAACATTTCCATTGAGCTATGGGAGCAACGGGCTGAACTGAACTCTGCATATGACTGAAATGCACCAAGAACAGTGACACTTTACAACAATACCAGTCCAAAATGCAATTCAATCAATGGAACTCTCAACTCGTACCTTTTAGCATCTTGCTGAACAGTAGTCGGCAACTACATATTCAGGCAATTTTTCAGTCTCTGAACCTTGGTTGAAAGGTTGCCAGGATCCAGCTCCAACAGTAGTTTTTGGAATACCTCAAAACTATATTTGAGATTCTTGGGGTATCTCAGATCCAAGGCATAGGTTAGTCCCAACAGATAGCAGCAGGTCTGCTAAGATCCCTAAGACTTCTGAGGACAGGGATGCCCTCAATCACAATCCCTACATCAGTAGGTTCATCGACTGACCCATCTTGGTTCTGCAGCAGGTACATCATCATCACCTCCTCTGCCAACTCCTCTTGTACACTGACAGGTGCATCAGCAGCATCCTGCAGACATTGAAAAGATAACTGGTTAGTGCTTACTTTCAGCCTGCATGTTACAAGACACACAAAGAGCAATTCCTCACTGCTCACTCACTATGTATGTTCATGGTCATCACAGTCATCCATGATTACATTATTTAAAACTTCAAAACTAACACTGTTAAAAATCCTGAAAACTATTGTACTAACTAGGGCTGCAGCTATAGAGTATTCTAACGATGAATTCATTAAACGGATAATACATTATTTTGCTTTATTAAAAGAGCAATAGTAAATATAGAAAAGAGAAAATAAGACCGGCCTCTCAAAATGAACAACAAGAAAAATCCACATTGTTATTGTTTAAATTGCATACAATAATATTATGTCAAAACTAGACCCATTTAGTGCATTAAGTTTTAAAGAACCCATTTTCTGAAATGCAAAAACTAATAATTATTGTTTTTTTTATTTCAAAGAACTCAAAAAAAAAAAGGTATACGTCTTCTGGGCTACACATATAAGGGTACTATAATTGTAACTGATCACTGCACATCTGTATCGGCCTCGGTCTTACCTCTGTGCCACGCTGTCTGTCTGCTTGACTGAGTGCGTGTATGTCTGTCCCACTGCCCGATAATTTTTAGTAATCGAGTTACTTGAGGAATCATTTCAGCCATAGTACTAACCTCAAAGTCCTTGATCAAGGCACTCGCATCTTCTCCCAGATTCCAAAGGTACCGTGCTTCAATCGATAGTGCTTGAGAAGTGACCCTTTCGCTGAAGCCACACATGTGCAGAGCTTACATTGCCATCCCATAAGCTGCAACCTAAAAAAGTGAGGATAAATAGTGTTATCACATGGAGCGAACAGACTGGTTTAATGCTACTTCCATTTACCTACATACTTTTTGGACTAATATGTTTTATCATACAGAGCTTTAAAAATGACACCCAATTATATTTACTCATTGATGCTAATAATTACATCTACTCCAAACTATAGTTAATGGAACATCTACCGTAATTGCACAAACATTTGGAAAACAGTCAATAAAAACGATTGCAGTTGCAGTGTTCAGAGCCAGGATCCTCAATTGCAGGAGTAGTATATAATAATTAGTAACAGTTTGTATTATCAAGTCCTAGATATTTGTATATATTCACTGTTTATGTTTCTAACAAGTGCTTCCTGGCCTTTGCACTCAAACATGGTCGAAATCAAGGTGCAACTCATTTAGCTTATTCACCGATTTCTTAAACTTGTATAAAGCAAACTAATATGTTGGCACCGTTGTTTCAGTGTTTAATAAAATAATGAAATTTACCTCCTCTGTTTTGTTATCTTCGTTCAACTTCTCTCCGTTAGCGCAGTCGGTGCTGTGAAACAAATATTGAAAATATTTAACATGCTTCACAAATAAATTCAACTTTACTTGCTCTAGCCATCATCAAGTGTTCCCTCATAAATATGACAACACATAAGTTGGGCAGGTAGGCCACTCCTCTTAAGAAAATGCAATGCCTTATTATAATAAAGATGAAACAGTTTCATAAGCATATAGGCAAGACTAGTAACAGCTGCTGGGCCGCGGATGCAGTAGGCAGACGTTATCTGAAATCACTCGCACGATACAGTAATCACCCAAATAAAC